TTTTTTTTGGCAGAGCCAGGGATTGAACTCAGGCCCTTACGCTTGCCAGGGAAGCACTTATTCCACTGAGCCATCTCCACGGTCCCAGGTTTGTTTTTTTTTTTTTTTTCCTGAAAATATTTTTGAAGAAATTCTCTCTCATTGTCTGTAGTCATGCAGTTGGCTGATCCCTTGTGCTCAATCCTCTTGACTTAAGTGGAGCAAAAGATATTTGTTTGTCACAAAGTCTCATATCCATAGCTATGTGAGACTCATGTTTATTCTCTGGATTGCTTCTACTGATTAGTTATTCATTTTGGAGATTGTGCTATATTAAACAATAAGTGCTTAACATGAAAATATCAGAAAAACAAATTATTGCATTTTGATATTTATTATATGTTTATATAAAGTCATTACAATTTCTAACATTGATTAGTTACTGGTATAAAAGATCTAAAATTAAAAACAGGAATGTATTTCTGCATCAGCAAGATATTTCAGCAAACTAAAGTGCCTGCTTAGGCAGGCTCAGGGACCAGTATTCCATCCCCAGCATGCCATGCCAGCCCTGCCCCAAGGACACGTTGAGAAGGGGAATTAAGACTGGGCGTGGTGGCAGGAGCATGTAATCCCAGTGCGTGGGAGGATGAAAACAAGAGGATCGCTATGAATCTGATTTACATTAAATGAAATTAACTCTACAATGAAGAGCTCACACACCATGTTCAAATCAGTTTCACTTCAGAGATGAAAGAATAGTTTAACATGTGAAACTCAACGAACAACGCATTACCAAAACAGAATGCATGATGCACACATGTTCTGGGTATTCCTGAATCCTTTGAGACCATTTCACAGATAATCCTACATTGAATCTTCCACTGCAATTTTTTGGCATCATCCCAAATATTATTCTTATAAATACATTATAGTACAAGTTTGACATACAATCTATCTGGGTCTTGCAATCTTTAGATGTTAATGAAATCATGCTTCATAAAGATTAAGAGGCTAATAAAATTCTTTCTTTCTTTCTCTCTCCCTGTCTTTCTTTTTATCTTTTGGAACAGAGATTCAGTATAGAGTCCAGGTTGATCATGAACTCACTTTGTACTACAAGTTGACCTTGAATTCACTTTGTAGTCCAGGCTAGCACTGAACTCCTAGAATCCTCCAGACCCAGCCTCTTGTGTGCTAGATTAGAGGCATTCTCCACCACATTCAGCCTCATCATTTGTGCTAAATTATTTTTTGCATGGACGTAAGACATCAGATGCACAGCCACAAGGCGGGAAGAAATCAGTTTTTTCCAGGGCAGTGTGGGAGATGGAACTGAAATGTTTATCCACATTCACAACAGTAAGCCAAAGACAGACTCACCTACTATGGGACTTTGTCTGGATGAAATTGCAAGATCAAACTCTGGACAGACATGGTCTTGAGGAAAAATCCAAGAGGATTCTCCTGATTGTTGTCTTCCTTATCCTGCAGCCTTCTCTCTCAGTGTTTCCTTTGAGGTCTGACAAACCGAGTCACATAGCTTGACCTTTGCAAAATAATAAAATAGTGTATATAAGAAAGAAAATGTGATCACTGGTTAGTTTTTCACTTCTATATGTATTTCCATGTCAGTAGCAACAATGTAAAGCCATATAAGGAATTATTTCTTCTCCACTGTTAAGCACTGTTTTCATTTGTTTATTTCTACCTGATTAATGGGATAATGGCCAGGGACTCTGTGGATAAACACAGCAGTGTTCACTATATCGCTATACTGTGTCCTTCATCCCTAGTCAAAAAGACTTTTCCAAATTTATTTTGTCAGTTCTTTTCCTACCCTCTGTCTTTTTCTTTGAATGAGAGAACGGAGTAGACTTTTTCATCTTTTTTTGTACTTAATACAGGGCCTAAAGGGTCTCATTACACAGATCGGACTGATAGTTATCCGCTTGTTTTCAGATGATGGGGTTACCAGTGCATGCCAACACACCCGGTCTACATCTTTCCTATATTCTATGTCTGAAGCTTAGCTTCAGAAGGTTACACCATTGTTGACCTTGTGTCTTTCTTTCCATCCTTGTCCTTCCAAGGCTTCCACTTCATGGGATAATGTGCTGTCCTTTGAATCAATGACCATTCCCTAGAGCTCACTGATAAGAATCTGCGGCAAAGTGTCCCTTCCACAATGTTCAGTGTCTGCTAACCTTCTAATTTTTGTATTATATTTGTACTTTCTGATAACTTCACTGAGTCACCAATGATGCTTTTATCCCCATTGGCCTGAGGAAATTTATTGTAGATATTTAGTTATTCTATATCTCACCCTCTGCAGCATGTAATGAAATATATGGACACTTTCTAGAAAAGCAGCATGAAGATAAGTGTGTGTACTCACAGGATTCAAATCAGTATAGCACTTGAATTTTAATCAAATCAGTTAATTCATAGAAAAAAAATTGAAAAGGGTACAAATGGGAAATGACAAAATACATTATTTTTGCTCACAATATGATTCTACCCCTAAAACTCACAAAGTACCAACACTCTTTTAGAACTCAAAATTTCTTCAAAGTAGCATAATAGAAAATTGCCACACAAAGAACAGGTCCTTCTCAATATATTCATAATGAGATGCTTGAAAAATAAACCATGAAAGGAATCCAGTCTAGTAGATTAAAAAAGACAAATAAATGTCTAACCAAAATCATGAAAAAAAATACAGAAGAAAAAAAAAGAATAAAATAGAAGGTAAAAATACTTAGCATGTATTTGGACTGAGAAAAGCAATAGTTTTAAAATGGCATTACACATCCCAAATGAGGAAATGATTCAATGCAATTCTCATGAAATGTCTCAAGATTTGAAGTAGCCTAATGTGTTAGGAACGTACAAAAACCTGTAGAACCAAAGCAATGCTGAGTAACAGGAGCAGCCCTTCAGGATTCAGAATACCTGACTTGGTCATGACAGAGCCACTGTAACACTGCAGTGTTTTATGGGCACACGTAGTCATAGAACAGAGTAGAGGTCTCAGAAAGAAACATACACATTTTTAGGAAACTCAAACATACCAAAAAATATATACACAAGGAAAGATGATGTAAAATCGCTTTGGGAAAACTGGATATCTATCAGAAGAAGAAAAAATTAGAATCTTATCTACAACTTAGAAGAAAAATCAACTTAAAATGATGAAAGACATTAATTTAGTACCTAAAAATTTGTAACCAGTGGGTGGCACAATGAAAGAAATTATAATATGATAGTATGCATAGGATATTCTTATTATTTTGCACTTACTTGAGCAAGATTTATGGGCTACATTGTGGTGGGAATTTTTTGGAAAATATTCCAGATACTACTGAGAATATGTATCCTGCTATATTTGGGTGGAACACTCTAAAATGTTCATTAGGCCCATTTATTCACATGATTTGTACAAATCTGAAGATTTATTCTTGATGTTTTTGTCCAAGTGATTTGTTTATGTATGGCCTTGGGGAATTCAGGCCCCCCATTATGACTATATATGCATTTATCTCGTTTATACCAGTAGTGCTTCCTAAGGAAGTTGTATGTGGTAGTATTTGGTGCACATAGTTTATAATTATTATCCCTTTGCATTGAACATTTTCCCTAGCCAATATATAGTGACAATGGTTAGCTCTTTTGGTTACTTTAGGCATCCATGTCTCACACACTTCAGAAGGCTATGCAGGAACTGAGGGGGAAGGAAAATCTAATCTCTACACCAAGGACATTGGCCAGTGGAAGCTATTTATTTTTTCCAAACAACTTCTAACTTGAAAGAGGAGATGAAATTTGTACTGCTTATTCTGCCACCAGCTGCTGATGTAATATAAGCTCTATGATGAAAGCTCTGCTTATTTTTCTGTGGATCTCTAGCAAATATAAACAACTAGGTGTTTAAAGAAGAAAATTATATCTCATGCTATCATTAAAATGTAAGTGAAATTCTGTTTTCACCTGACTTGTGTTTTGTGAATCCTGATATACTCTGGCCATGTTTGTTTTAGTATGAAATCAGAGGAAAGCCTAAAATACTTCATGAATTTAAAAAGATTAGTACCTCTAATATAAAGACCACATAAAGAAATTGGTGAATAAAATCATCAGAAATATCTCACAGAAAGTACAAAAGGCCCACAAAGGTATATTCAGAGGTATTCAACACATCTGGCCACTAAAGAAATGCAAATTAAACAAACATTAAGCTCTTTAGGACATACCCTGGAACCATATACAGCACCAGTTATATAGGTCTTGCTCTAATTAGGCCTTAACCAACCAGCAGAAAAGTTAACCACGAGGTATAAAAAGTAAAGCTATATTAATATGCTGAGCTGTAGGAGGCTCAATTCAACAACTTCAGACAATTGCCAGCTGTGCCGTAACTCAAAACTATTATGAACTATTGGACAAGAGTGGGTTATTTTTCTGAATTCAAGTACCTAAAATATTGGGACTGGCATCATGTATGAAAAGACCCTTTAAAGACGTGTCCAAATACAGCTTCTTTAATAGCAACGAAACACCTATTTC